AGAATTGATATTTGTGATTATTTGCAGGTTAGAAAGAAAGAGAGATTGTACACTGCGTGACATTGAAAATGGAACACCAAGAAATAGTGGCCAGAAAGTGATGAAACTCGGCAGACAGAGAGAGACAGGGACGAACAATAAGTGATCTTTATTTCAAAATGATAGTCATTATACAGAGCGAGAACGGCGTCGGCTTAGTAGCAAGTAGGACCACCGCGGACGGCGATGCACGCAGCAACACGTCTAGGTAGAGAGTCAATCAGAGTACGGATGGCGTCCTGAGGGATGGCTCTCCATTCCCTCTCAACCATTTGCCACAGTTCGTCTTCTGAACGCGGCTGTGGCAAGGCATGCAAACGGCGTCCAATGATGTCCCAGACGTGCTCGATTGGTGAGAGATCAGGAGAGTACGGTGGCCAGGGAAGCATCTGTACATCTTGCAGAGCTTGTTGGCTAATGCGAGCAGTGTGCGGTCGGGCGTTATCCTGCTGATAAAGGGCATTGGGTACCCCCTGAAGGTAGGGGAGTGTCACCGATCGCAGCACATCATCAACGTATCGTTGGGCCGTCATAGTGCCCTGAATACGAAGTAAAGGTGACCTGGAATCATACGCGATTGCGCCCCAAACCATGATTCCACGTTGTCGCACGGTGGGGCGTTCCACAATTGCTGCCGGATTGGACCTTTCTCCACGTCGACGCCACACGCGTACACGGCGACTATCACTGTACAAGCAGAAACGTGACTCATCTGAGAACACGACCCTGTGCCATTCCGTCATCCACGTCGATCTAGCCCGGCACCATTCCAAACGTTGGCGCCTATTCGATGGGGTCAATGGCAGTCTTCTTATCGGACGGCATGAGTGCAAGCCATTAGCAACCAATCGACGGGAAATGGTTCTGGTCGAGATGGAATGATCTAGGGTGTCTTGCGCATGTTGCAGGATGGCGGTACAAGTGGCTTGTGGGGCCGCCACTGCTTGTCGAAGGATACGCCGATCCACACGTGCTGACGTCACTCTGGTTGCACCGACATTCCTATAAATTGCCACATTTCCTTGTTCCAACCATCTTCTCCACAGTCGGTGCACCGTGGACGCACCAAGGTGTGTATCAGCTGCGATTTGACGTATGGACCAACCTGCCCTTTTCAGTCCGATCACCATGCCCCTCGTAAAAGCGTCTGTCTGCTTGAACTGCCTCCGTTTACGATGACCTGGCATTCTCTGTTATTACACGTGTCTTTTGACACAAGAACAAAATTTCTACAATGATTTTCCTTGAAGAAATAACGACACGAATACTGTCCTTTCTGCAAGTTCCTTCCCTTATATCTTACTCCATGTGCGCACGAGAGCTGAGCATTTTACATCATTTGCATAACTCGGTTAGGCGCGTCTACCCTGAAATTTGCATAATTTTCTGACCACTATTTCTTGGTGTTCCATTTTCAATGTCACGCAGTGTATATAGTGTGTATTCTTCGTAGATCGCGAAATACGTGGTGTCGCTGGAGACCCACTGGCGATTCTCCACCAAACTCTGAAGCGCTGGCAGAGGCGCCATATTCATTGTACATTGTGTATATAATCCATATAGTGTGAATTATAATTATTTATATAAATTTAGAATGATAATTGGAAATTGTGTCAGTTTCATAGACTAATGGTAAATAGTGTGACAAGCACACCTAGCTAGTAGCATTGTATCCCAGCATATATTGTACGGTAGCGTTGATCACAATTGTGATATAGAAGTACTGAATATTGTTTGGAAAAATATCGTTTAACTCGGACCGTGTAAGTCAGCCTAGTACTATGTAGTATTCTGGTGGTATAAAGTTCCGTTTTAACAACCGGGACACGCTTTCAAAAACCAGCATCCAAGTAGCTTTTTAGCGTTAAAAAAATTATATAAAGATCGACACCCAGCCTACAAGACCAACAACTGGTCAAAAAAAAAAAAAATCTGTGAAAATAGTTTTTAAATTTATTTTGACCACTGACCAACTCTGTGGTTTTAGTTATCACCAGATGTCGTGCCATTTTGTACGTTTCTTCCGCTGCCCAGCTTTCCTGAGACACAGAATGCAAACAGCTATCCTGCTTGGACTGACCCACCTCAACCCTACATCTATGGCCAGTCTCCCAGACTCAACCTTAGCATGAAACTTCCTGGTCAACTGGTTTAGCTCAGCAATCAAAACAGGACGCGATTAAAAAAGCTTAGCATTAGTCCATAGTGGTGAGCTTGAAAAACCCGGGTAGTTGGTACTCTGCGTCCCAGGAACCTGGGGTTAAACATATAAATAATATATTACATTTAGAACAGAATTCTTTATGAGCAGTAAAGAAACACAAGCTTCTGTGTAAAATTTTCGAAGCCGTAAATAAAAAGATATTTATATAGATTAAAAAGAGAGCTGTGCATTCTCTTTGGTGACTCGTCCAATTTGGTGGTTAAGTCTCTTTTTTTTTTTGCCACTCATCCTTTAATATACTTTAAAGTCTTGGGTCGTTATATATATTATTCCGAACAGCGAACATTGAGGGTAAGTAACCAAACTGGGCCGCCATCTTGTAAGTGTGAAAGTCGAACTGCCTCTAAATGTGTAGATACGTGACGTCCTAGAGGCAAGCCCCGTCAATGTAGATGTAAAAACGATGCGATCTCAATTGAATGTCTCTGGAAACTAGCAGATTCGGGGTGATGACAAAGACACAACTTTGACCATTTGAGAAGACCCACTTGGAGACCATGGTTTCGGGGTATGGCTTTCGTCACTCCAGAGCAGTCTTTGATCTCACGAGATCCATAAGGGATTTATGAAATTTTCCGAATTTGTCAGAGATGTGTTTAACTGGTGAAATAGCCAATTCTATAGCCAAAATATGGATGGAACTTTTTCTGGGAGACTATGGATCTAAAAAGATAAAGTACGTCTCTCTCCCATCAGAATTCCGGTCTATTATAACGGATGTTTACTATACGCCCCGTGTTTACTTGTGACAACAACAACGAGGCGTGGTGTGGCGGCAAGGATGACGTAAGTCCTTGTCATCGTAGGGCGCCAACAATGGAGGTCGTGGCGCAAGACTCTCGGGGGTCCTTGACGTCAGCCAGCCTGTGAATCAGCTTCTTTGTGCCTTGGTGGCCGTCGCTGGCCCTTGCTGGAATGTCTGGAATTTGCCTTGGTGAAACTCGGCCCTTGTCTTGTCTTAATAAACTCTCCTTGCTGCGGGAATTCTCGGGCGATCATGAGATCGGCACAAAAGTCTTAAATGAACGTAGAATTAAGTGTGCATTTTTAAAACATCATTTGCTTTTTGAGATTTTACTTTTTAAAAAGGATGAGGCAATAACAACCGCTCTTGATTTATTTAGTTCCCGAGTTTTGGGGCCAAAATGTTTTTTTTTAAGAGTAATTCTTAGTGTTACATCGTGTCCATTTAAGATCATACGCAAGCACTGACCTACCCTCTTACAAAAAAAAAACAAAAAAAAAAACAACTAAATATTTTGACTATGTATACACACACACAAAGCTTTATTAAGACCACCGGTCTTATACAGTATTTTAACTATGTATCTACTATTATATTTCAGATAATCTCCTAGTGAATTTTTCTTTAACTACACAATACTTATATTATTTTTATTACTAGATAATATTCGAATTGTTTTTAAACCGATTTTTTAAGGAGCCACCAAACTTGATCTAATTAAAGATATTATCGAATTCTAAAATAATTAACGGAATACTACTTTATATTGTAATGTGTTTGGTAAACACAGGGGTTCCTGGAGCCAACTACCCGGGCTGTCTTATTTACAAAACAAGTGGAAGTCCAATTCATATGGTGGGGCGCCAAGCAGATTTATTTCCTTGGGAGATTCCATAGAGATGCTGGACTTAGATTGGTGATCCCTAAGAGGTTAGCCGTATCGGGAATCTTTGGTATTGGAAGGTTGGGCAGAGATGAAGAGAAAACTAATGTATAACGAAATTAAAAGATTCGAAAGAAAGTTTCGCTATGTAGAGGGTCTTCATTATAAAAGGTTTCGCTTTAACCATTTTCACCGCCGTACACGTAGTGCTGTTAGCCAGTGTTCGTAATATAGGGAGAAGACTTGCCCCAGGACTTGCCAACATTATTGTGCTCAACATTTTATATCCAAAAATGTTAAAACCACGCGCTCATTTATAAGTAGGCAACAACACTTATTACCCTTGAGACCATTCATTTCTCTCGATATGATTTTATAACCCGAGTTCCTAGAGCGCTAACTCCTCGCGCGCGGTGCAGTTGCCAGTAGAACTAAGGATTGAACCAGGGGAACATATGTGACTAGGATCTCGCGCTAGCGTAAGATAGGCACCTTGAGTAAAGAATCAAAATAAGACGTTTTCACATTAAAGTGAATTATGAGTATCACAGAGCGTCACGTGATCGACAGGGACCGTATTATGCTTGTTATCTCTCTTCTCGCTACACAGAGTAGCTGCTGTACCTGGCGTTCCAGGATTCTCGGCGGCTGTAAGATGACGTAGTGTTCTTGTGCTTGACCAGGCCTCGGTGGAAATTCTGGAATTAGATCCCATGCTTCTTTACTGTAGGAACTTTTGGTGCGCAAGTTTATTAGTTGGCGTTTTCTGTGATTGTGTGAGGGTTTAAGATTACGTAACATTTTTGTGGCTTTGTACTTGGTGGAATTTTCGTTCTGCATTAGTGTAGGAACTCTTGATACGAAGTTTTTTTCTGTTAGTTTGAGAGAGAGAGAGAGAGAGAGAGTCCTATGAATACATTTGGTTAGTGATTTGTAACCTTGTCTGTTGTTTCTTTCCCACCACCGAAGTTAAGCGATGTCGGAACACAGGGTACATACACTTGCTCTGATTGTTTGTTGGCTACTTCTTGTACACCTATATTCATGGTTACTTCTTGTATGCCTTTATTTCCTGCATACTTATAGTCTGCGCATAGTTTTCCATTTTAGTTGTTGCAGCGAAACGGTTAACGCGCTTGATTAGGGATCGAAAGATTCTAAGTTCGAATCCTGACCAACTATTTTTTTTTTTTTAGTAATTTTAGGGCTATATATCCTGTAGCGCATTTTCGTGAAATAGTTTTGTGGCAGGTAGGAGAGAGAGGTAGTTCCCCCGAAGGTAGGACAGCGAGGTACACAGTACCGCCGAAGGTAGGACAGCGAGGTACCACCGAAGGTAGGACAGCGAGGTACCACCGAAGGTAGGACAGCGAGGTACCACCGAAGGTAGGACAGCGAGGTACCACCGAAGGTAGGACAGCGAGGTACCACCGAAGGTAGGACAGCGAGGTACACAGTACCACCGAAGGTAGGACAGCGAGGTACACAGTACCACCGAAGGTAGGACAGCGAGGTACCACCGAAGGTAGGACAGCGAGGTACACAGTACCACCGAAGGTAGGACAGCGAGGTACCACCGAAGGTAGGACAGCGAGGTACCACCGAAGGTAGGACAGCGAGGTACCACCGAAGGTAGGACAGCGAGGTACACAGTACCACCGAAGGTAGGACAGCGAGGTACACAGTACCACCGAAGGTAGGACAGCGAGGTACACAGTACCACCGAAGGTAGGACAGCGAGGTACCACCGAAGGTAGGACAGCGAGGTACACAGTACCACCGAAGGTAGGACAGCGAGGTACCACCGAAGGTAGGACAGCGAGGTACACAGTACCACCGAAGGTAGGACAGCGAAGTACCACCGAAGGTAGGACAGCGAGGTACCACCGAAGGTAGGACAGCGAGGTACACAGTACCACCGAAGGTAGGACAACAGCGAGGTACCACCGAAGGTAGGACAGCGAGGTACCACCGAAGGTAGGACAGCGAGGTACCACCGAAGGTAGGACAGCGAGGGTACCACCGAAGGTAGGACAGCGAGGTACACAGTACCACCGAAGGTAGGACAGCGAGGTACCACCGAAGGTAGGACAACAGCGAGGTACCACCGAAGGTAGGACAGCGAGGTAGTTAGGCCAAAGGTAGGACAGCGAGGTACCACCGAAGGTAGGATAGCAAGGTACCACCGAAGGTAAGACAACAGCGAGGTACCACCGAAGGTAGGACAACAGCGAGGTACCACCGCGGCGAGGGCAGCAGCGAGGTCGACGTCTCGCCCCATGGCACGCCAGGAATGCGGCCGCTAGCCCCGGGCACTTCCCGGACAGTTCGTCCGTCCTCTTCTCTCGCCGCCGCCGCGGACTTTCTCCCTTGGACCGCTGAACGTCCGGGTCGCTCTCAGAACAGGATTTAGTTTTGCACGTACAATCTCTAAATCTGAGGATACCACACTTCTCTTATACTCCTTCTCAACACTTAAAACCCACATATTATTTTTAATTTTATTTATATTTGATTAATACAATATCAAGTACCCTGCAGCCATAATACAGCCTCCACATCCAAACGTCAAGTACCGTGAAGACTCCACTAACCAAGATAACTAGCTAGGACTTATCTGCTTACACTGTAAGTGTACACCAAATGTCTACATATGCAGAAAGCACTTCGATACTGAATTTTCAAAGTGCCAAGGCGCTGTTGGACTACATACTGGCGGAGGTAGACTTGTGCTTGAATCGAGGCAGCCATTGAAGCATTTTACTTTTCTCTAGAAAAAAAAAAGCCAAATGCGGGGGATTCGATCCCGAGTCCTGGTTTTCGACAATGTAAGTTCCTCGGCCGCGCCTATCTTTTTGTTTAAGCTGGAGGAACCTGAGATGACAACTTTGAATGAAACTAATACGCCCCTCTAAAAAACATCCTTCGTTCAAAAATGACTACCTCAGTAATGATTCACCAATTTAAAAAATGCATTCGTCTTTGGCACTTACACAGTAGAAACACTCGATATAAAGCCCTTTAAAACCACAATCCTTCAACAATTCTCTGCATTTCTTATCCTTCCACCGAAAACATTATTAAACGATTTTTTTTCTATATGTACCTTTACTGCTGAGAAAACAATACGGGGAGAATATTTGTCTATAGAATCGCCAAATGTCGAACTAGACTTGAAAGACGCGCTAAGAACAAACAACCTTCATTTATCTTATAAAGATTTTTCAACGGATATATCTGGAGTTTCTTGCCTAAGTCCAACATTCACCAGTGAGGGTGCAAGTAACCAACATCCCCATGTGTGTACTTTAAAATAAATAGCATCTATACTATGAGAGATAAGCTACAGTAGTAACTCTTTAATACGGATTTCAGGGAATCACAAGCATTTTTTTTAAATTTATTTTAACAAACAAATTTTAAAGATTTATTATATATACTTTCATAATAAAATGTAGGACAAACAATATATCTACTTTTTTTTTGTTGTTTTTTTCCGATATTACACATTTTAGATGTCATGAGGAAAGGGGGAACCACGGGAAAAAAAAAACGAATTATAGAGAAATCCTCATTACCCAGGTAGGCCATTAAAATATATTCCTATATATACAAATTTGCATATCAGGGTGGGTGTTAACTCTGAAAGATATTTGATACACCTTTAATGGAGACACACGAGATAACAAAGTGTGAACAAAATTGCTTCTGTCTTCTTGAAAAAAAAAAAAAAAAAGAAAGCAGACAACCGGCGTCATCAAAATATGAAACTACCTTAAGGTTTTGTCTCTCTCTCCATATATTTAATTACTACCCATTATCCCCCACTTCATTGTCCAATAACAACAAACCTAATGTCGATATAAAAAGTATAGAAGAAAGTAAACAACAGCAGAGGTTGAGAGGAGAGACCTCTGGGGTGTGTGTCAGCCACCAAATGTGCGAGCATTGAATGATTCATTCATCACGGGGATTGATGATATCATAACGGGCGGAGGTCAGGTTGGTGGACCACCCATCTGTCGGCTGATGCTAGCCTCCATAGAGACTTCTCCTCAAGACATAGGCCTGCCTAGAACTTACTTTCCAGAGTGTCTTTTGATAATATATATGGTTGAGTCTTCTCCCGGAATTGTCCATGAATGCCATTCTTGGCCATCTATCCTTCCATCTATCCACCCTCCCGTGATAACGTCCCTGAATGTCGGCCAACGTCGGTCCAAACATCCTTCTCCTTCTTTTAATCATTTCCAGATATTTCTTCTTGGGGCCATTTTTAGGACATTTTATCGTTACTTCTAATCACCTTCTTTTTTCAATATTCAACGATATTATAAACTTTCTGTCTAACTGAAGACAAAGACCTTTTATCAGCCTTTATTATTATATTATTATTAGAAAATACCTTGTAAATATCTCCACTCATGACAAAACTTAAGGAAGTGGAAAGTCTTTGACGCCGCCGGTCGTCTCTATATATAGTCTTAGGAAAAAACCTAAAGAAAAAAAAAAGCTCTCTCTCTATCTCATGACCTTCGATTCTCCCATAAGCCCAACCTGAGGAAAGACAGTCCAGATGGCTGTCACTGGTGTCTTCCAAAGATGTGGTGGCTTCTATCAAAACAAGCAGCAAGGTAGTTTACGCACCAAAAATTCTCGCATGAGTTCAACCAGTGAGTTTAAGTATAAACAAACGGTACTTTGGTTCTTTTAAAATAACTTTGGATAGAGTCTATATGGTAAACTATATACGTACTTTCATCTACCTATATTCAAAATGTATTTATGATTGATGCAGTATAATTATGATGGAGAGATGTGTAGCATCCACTGCGGGATTCGACCCTGGGTCCTTGTGTTATCCAAAAACCGCCAATGTCTTCCACCACAGCGCTACCCTTGTACTTAAGAAGAGTAAATAAACCAGAGAAGAGACAATTTAAAAATATCATGTTTTAAAATGAATTCCCTTAAAATAAATTTTAAAAATAGATACGAAGTTAAAACACAATCTTTTCTACAAATGTGTTGCGTGAGGAGAGGGGAATATAAAAAATAAATTTAAGAAAAAATATATATAGAGAAAAGAGAAATAAAAATTAAATCACACCCCAACCATCCTTCCTCTTTAATTGTGAATATTATTATCTCAACATCACATCCCCGAACTTCCCTTTTAGCTTTTTCCTTTTTTTTTTTTTTCTTTTATTCCAATTCCCAGGCTCTCTTGATGGGATTGCGAACAAAAGTTTATATACATCTTTTTTATGGAATACAAATACCTTCTTTAAATATCTTATACGATAAGGGAAATATTGTTTTTTGATTGACATCATTAAAATGGAGACATGTTCTAAGATGCTATTTATTCCTCCTTCCTTAAGTGTAAAATATGTGAAGGCGCCACAGAGAACAACTACGAGGGAGGAAGACAACCGCAACTAAAATAATTAATTAATTAAAGTAGTTTTTTTAATTTTAAAAGCACTAAAAAGTAGAAAAAGAAGTATTTCAGATTCTGTCATTGAACAATTAGATCTGTATAAGTGGCGGGGGACGATCATCAAGAATTTCGAACTTAAATGTGATTTAATATATAAAAAAAAGTTCTTCTCTGATTTATAAATATTATAAAGTAAATAAAGCTTCCAGGGTTAAGTTTCTTGTTCAAATTTTTATTTTCAAGCTTTCGGACTTGTCAGTCCTTCTACAGGAGTATCACGATAATAAATTGATGGTATATATACTGTTTTTATATACAAATTAATTTTTACATATATTTAATATGTAACAACTGATGTTTGTTTTATGTTTCACTGGATTTTTTCCTCTTCACTCAATACATGATGATCGTCCCCGCCACTTTTATTTTGACTCATAAATCTAATTATTTTAATGGTGAAAGCTCTGAAATATTTATTTTTCTTCTTTTTTATTGCATCTTTTAATAAAATAATTTTTAAAAAAACCATTTTTATTAATTAATTATTTATTTAATATTTTCGATCATTAGAAAATTATAAATTTACAAATATTTATATATTTTTAAATATATTAATATATTTCTATACATATAAATATATATATAATGTTATTTTTAAAATTGATTAAATGTGTATTCTAATAATTTTAAATGATTATACGTCAAATATGATATTACGTCAAATCTCCTCACAATTATAT